AAGCCTTGGCCCATCAAGGAAACCCACATCACATAACAGTGACTGGCCCACAAATGAATAGGATCCTCGACTCCAAAGCAAGAAAAAGGGTTATAAGATCACATATCACAAAGAATGCATATCTTTAGAGCTGCCACTACAGCCCAAATTCCAGCAACTTGGAGAGCTACAAAGAATAAAAAGCATGTGTTTCACACTATAGGAAACCGCAGGGAATCAGCAGTGCCTAAAAGATGTGAGAATTTTACATGAGTAAACTGGTAAACTTCCAAGAAACTGCACCTGGGGAAAGCAGTAACAGATAAGAGGAGGTGAGGGCAGTACTACTTACTAGCTGATGAGCCCAGGATGGGAGGACTGGAATAACAAAATGCATCTTATTTTTTCTACCTGTCAAGGATGCTATTCGGGCCCTAGCCGGTTTGGCTCAGTGGATAGAGTGTCGGCCTGCAGACTGAAGGGTCTCGGGTTCAATTCTCAGTCAGGGCACATGCCTGGGTTGCGGGCTTGATCCCCAGTGGGGGCGTGCAGGAGGCAGCCAATCAATGGTTCTCATCATTGATGTTTCTATTTCTCTCTCCCTCTCCCTTCCTCTCTAAAATCAATAAAAATGTATTTTTTTTTAAAAAAAAAAGGATGCTATTCTGTAAAAGTTCATGTGAACCCCATCTAAGCTGAGAAGGTAGGCAATTGTAACTTAGCGGTCTCTCCCTTACGCACTGAGGCTTTTCAGAGCAAGCTCTGCAGCAGGGACCATGCTAACCAGAAGCAAAATCTGGCCTAAGCGTTGCCGGATGTAGGCTTATTGACCTTGGGCAGGTCAGTTTACCCCTCTGGCCTTTAATTTACACGTGTGTAAAAGATGGGACGGGACTTGTTATCTAGAAGGGTGTTCCAGAAATTGGGGCCGGCCCCACCACAAGCAGGCCCCACTGAAGCCAGAGCAGCCATGCTTGTCAGGCTGCTTTTACCTAGTTAAACTGCACGGCCTGCATTCAGTTCTGTCACTTATTCCCTGAGTGACCTTGAGCAAGTTTGCTTATCCTCTCTGGCTTCCACAGCCAAAAAGAGAGGACAACAGTCATTGCTGTGAGGATTAACTGGATGGGTGAGGCACTGAGAACTGTCTGGCACACAGTAAGTGTTGCTCAAATATTTTTAGGTACTAAATGATGTATTTTTACAATTCCCTTCACATAACCTTTACTGTTTTTAAAAGGTTTTTAGTGCTTAGAGAAATGTGTCAAATCTTATTTTTAAAAAATGGTTGGTTTCAAAACAGACCTAGAAATGGAAGGTTCACCTTGAAGAGGTGTCAACTTATGCAAGTCCCTCAGCCAATTTAAATACAACCAAACTTGATTGTCACATGCTAGAAAATGGCTTATATCTATGAACATATAATATAACTCTGCCAAGAATTGGAAACTGATTGTTTTTTACTGACATCTGAAATAATTGTCCTTCCAGCTGAGTTAGCAGGGGAAGTAATCCAAATAAAGGGGGTCTCACTGCAGAGCTTTTGACTTTGAGTTTTGTTTTTACACAGTTAGCCTCCAGACCTGCTCTTATTAGGCTGACAAACGATAATCCTCTGTTCTCACTTCAATGTGTCAGGAAAAATCTCTTCAAAATTATTTTAGGGTTGAATCCTTTGTAGGGAGTCCTGGTGGACAGCAAGCATGTGACAGGCCAGACCGAGGAGGTGTGGTGAGGGGGGAGGGAGTGCAGTTAGAACAACATGTGAAAACACAGCGCAGCTCTGGGTGCCCACACAGTCCCCCTCAGGCACTGCCTGCTCTCTCCGAGGAACCTGAGTGAACACTGTGCTAAGAGAATAGTCCATTGAGAATAGTCCATGGTGGTTATATAATTGAAATTTGTCTATACGACTCCATATTAGACCCTCATGTTTGGAAATAAGCCCAAATCTCACTCATTCCCACAAAATAAGTTTCTCATATTAAATGATGATTTAAATATCAAAAGAGTGGATCACTGTCCCATCACACATTAAGGTGTAGTTGGGCCCTAGCTGGTTTTGCTCACTGGTTAGAGCATTAGCTCGAGAACCAAAGGACATGTGGGAAGCAACCAATTTATGTGTCTCTCTCATGTGGATGTTTCTCTCTCTATCCCTCCTTCCTCCTTCCCATCTGCACCCCCACCCCCACCCCCCCCCACCCCCCCGCCACCTTCCACTCTCTCTAGAAATCAATGGGGAAAATATCCTCAGGTGAAGATTTTTTAAAAAGTGTAGTTGGGTGGGTTTTTGTTTTTCAATACTCAATTCCTGTTGATAGTTGTCAGCTCCTACTCCCCCTAGTTCAGGGATAGGGAACCTTTTTTTCTGCCAAGGGCCATTTGGATATTTATATCATCATTCGTGAGCCATACAAAATTATAAACTTAAAAATTAGCCTGTTATATTTGGTCAAACATTTAATTAACTCACCCCTAATGCCTTGGCAGGGCCAGACCAAATGATTTCACGGGTCTTATATGGCCCTTGGGCCGGACGTTCCCCACCCCTGCCCTAGTTAATTCCTTTTAAAGACTGAACTTGAAAACACTGAAACCCTTGCATAGCTATGGGAGAATTTTAAGTTGTCCATGGACCATTTTGGGGGATGGATACCCTGCAAAAAGACATTTAAAAAGAAAGTGCTATTAAAATCTTTAAAATGGACATTGATGAGTTTCCCCAAAACATGTAAAAATGGCAGCCTGATCTTGCACACTGGTGGTTCTTAGAAATGTCTTAGAGGATATTTTTGGAGCAGATGGGCACAGAGACTCAAAACACTTCATCTGAAAGTGGGAAAATGCCCTTGAATATTAAAACAAAAACAAACAAAAAACTTTAAACTATAGACCATGCTATCTCAACAGCCTACTTGGCCCAGGCCCAGTACCAAGTAGGCCTCTCAGGTTGGACTAAATAACCTGCGTCCCCAGCACACGCAAGTGAGGCCTGAGCCAGGAAGAGGTTACCAAGATGGTACATCCCCTGCTGCGTTGCGTCCAAATGCAGTGGAAGGCGCAGCCTCGAGAAGCATCAGGAATATCTGTGAACAGGGAGTCGTGGCAGTGATGAGTTTTCCTAAGAGCGTGCACTAGTCTGGATCAGCACAGGCGTGGCATGGAAAGCTGCTTGATTAGACACGAGTCCAGCCCGGTGCCTACCTTGGGCATTAATAATCAACCTAAAGACCTTCATTCCATTACCTCATTCTGTTTTTTGTTGTTGTTTTGCTTTGCTTTTAACCTGTTATCTCTTTTATAAATACAATTAAGAGAATTTCATCGGCAAAGAACTGTTCAAGGCTAGGCTATCTTCTTTGCTTCTTGTCCCCCTCTATTTGTCATGGGGCTTCTAAGCTACTCAGAAGTAAAATTGACCCGGATCACACTGGTTCCCTGGTCCCTAAACAATCAAGCTTATTTTCTGTATTGAATCTCACTGAGGCTGTAACACTGAGTCATTAAGAATAATTTCAGACCACCTCAGAATATAGACAATGGTGTGTTCTCTAGATGTATGTCCCAGTGTTTCTGAAACAGTTCTGCTCAACTTTTAATAAAATTGCACCAATATCAAAATTAAGACGTATTCAAGGTCTCACTAGCAGAAACCAACCTTTATATCATTGAATTATCTTAATGACTTAGTAAATACAGAGCGTGCTAGCCACAGTAAACCTATTTTCAAAAAGAAAATGTGTTTAATCTCATATCACAAGGTAATTTTTTAAAACCACAAAAATCACACATGATTATTTAATTGCTCACTTTCAAAACATAGATGTAACTCATTTTATGCATTCACTATGTTCCTGAAAATTTCCATTATTAAAAAGTAAGTTAAAATTGTAATTTGAGGTGCCTTATCATAATGTCCTATTTATGTTCTGCTTGGAATAAAAACTAATATTTTACTACGTTTCCATTTCGCCCAGTCTACCATATAAATATTCTGATGTTTCTATTTCACCCAGTCCACCATATAAATATTCTGATACGAAAATATTTTAAAAGAGCCCGAGGGTGTAAAGAATTCTCTTGCTATAAGTAATTATTCTCTTCTTCATGTCAAGTTCACAAACCAGGTCTTGTTCAAGTCGGAACAGTTTGACTCTAAACCTGACACACTAGTTGTTCACCCTTCCCTAGGACGGGGTGCCTGGCACACACACAGCCGTGCCTCTGGATGGCTGTGGCTGCCCAGGAAACTGTGGCTGCCACCCATACCCACAGGACAGAACCCTATTCCTGCAAACAGCACCTTTCCCCAGCACATACACCCGGCCCTTTGGGACAAGAGAGTTTTTATGGAAGGGCAACTCCAGGGGCAGAGAGATTTAAATCTCCACAGTCCTCCATGAATGTGATCACACACACGCACACACACACACACAATGAGCAGGCTCTCTGAATGCGCATCAGGAGGGAATGAAGAGGGCAGCAAGGTCTGGGGAAGAACCTGGCTCCCATCCTAGCTGGAGCACTGGCTCCCTAGTCACAGTCCCTCTGTCCTTCAGCAGAACAGTGCTGACATCAGTCCTCGCAGGCCTGTGAGGCAGGAGGTTTTCAGCCCTGCATTCAAGCAGTCCAGAGAGAGCTTACAAAGGTCTATCCTAAAAGGCAGGTGAGGTCGCACAATAAAGGTTGTATTGAATCTCACTGAGGCTGTAACACTGAGGCACTTGTAGGAAGTAGGAGCCTACTTCCTACAAGTGCCACATTCTCTCAACCCTTCCAGGCCCGATTCCCACCGTGCATTCCAAACCTTCCAAGATGTTTTTCCCAAAGGGGTGGGGAAAAGATGGAAAGTAAAAAAGGGACCACACTGATATCCTATGAGGCCCAGCAAGACAAACTGCATCCCAACGCGCCCCTAGTAACAAGGAAAACTGGCTTTCTCACCCCGACTCCTGGGAAGTAGGGAGGTCGGGAAAGGATGGTACAGACTGAACCCACCGTGACTGAGGAGGGAGCAACAGAAAGACGAAGCCCGCCCATCGCGATGGAGCTCACGCTTCAGCCGCTACCTCTGCAGCCTGTTCACCTCAGGGCTGATCTTCACTGAGACAGGGGTTCTGAGAGCCCTCTTTGCTCTTACTCTTCTCTGCTGGGCTGCACTCAGACTCCGTGACCAAGGACTTGCACCCATGAAGCGTGTGGGCATTCAGCATCTCCAGCAGCAGGTCGTAGACTGGGACCACGTTTTTGCACTTCATGCTGAGCAGGTGTTCCATGCCCTTGTTGCTATGGGGACAAAAAGGTACTTAGATTCTGTCCTGTGATGCAGCCCCAGGAACTCAACGTAAGTCTCGCACACACTCGGACACACGCACTTCCCTAAGCCCTTTGTTCTATGGCTCTTGCACCTGGCTCCTTCAATAATCTACATTCAAGGGCGAGGACAATGTCCTATGACCTCTGTGTCCCATCACCCACCCACAATGGCCTGGCAGTGCCTGGCACAGCGTGCAATCAATACTCATTTGTTCATGGTAGTCACTGCAGGCACTGGGTTGGCTGAACCATTGCTCCTGAGGGAAATGCAGGGTTAGGGTCCTGAGAGCCTTGGGAACACTATACGGCACTTTGGTACTATGCATGGAGGCCATTTGTGGACACTGAAATCTCCAACCACAAAAATGCAAACACATGGCACTAAATAGGCCACATGAGGAACACTTGCTGCAGCGTAAGGAAGGCAGAGCATGGCCTTGGTTGACCTCGGCTGGGGATGTAAGCACAGGCCACTCGAATGCTTTGCCACTCTGTGACTGTCCTCAAGTGATCACGAAAGTGCCGTGAGTAATCAATCGGGAGGTTACAAATAAAGTTTAGCAAGCGGTCAAATTCGCAAATACAGAAACCAGGATTATGATAGACTACTTGTTCTGCAAATGGTTGTGTGCAGAATGATCATTAAACAGGGGCAGAGGCTGTTCTCATTTCTTAACCCTTGTTAAAATTCTTGAGGGGCATGTGTTCCTCCCCATGGCCCCTAGACTTTCCTCCTTATCTCCCCTCTTCCGGCCCCAGGGCAAGCACCCTCATCCTGGGTGACACAAAGCCACCATGGGACGTCCCACAGCACTACCGCGGCCCTGCCTTCCTAAGAACTGCGGACTCACCAGTTCTCAGGTCTCATCCTTATGTCCTGGTGCCATCGCAAGGAGAGAACAGCTCTCCGGGAGGGCTTTGTGCACTCCCCCAGATCACAGATCTCAGGAGTTGCTCTAGGAAAGCTGGGTTTAACCTCTTTAAGGAAATGACCTGGGGACTCCAGCCCTAGGTGGTGCAGGGATGGGTGGCAGGTCACTTTAAGGAAGAACCTGCCCCTTTTAGAACTCCATAAACAAGCTAAAATCCCCAGAAATTAAGAATTAGATGAGCCACCACAGGATGCCACCAAGATCCTGTAAGGAGCCACGTGACAGCCATTCGGTGCCCACTATGTGCTGACCTTTGGTTACAGGTGTGTGCCCTGATGAAGAACCCCCATCCCCTTTCAGGACTTCATCGTCCTTTAAAGGCCACAATTCTACTGTATCCACCTCAAACTTGAAAACCCTCTTCCCAAAGCTCTCCACCCTCTGAACATGCGCCCCCTTCCCCGCCACGTACCTGGGGGGAAGGGCCCCTTACGGATCGTACCTGGCGTGCCTGACGTGAGAAAGGAGCATCAGCAGGTTAGCCAGGCGGACGGACTGCTGCTGGGAAGGGATGCCGCTCTTGGCGATCACCCAGACCAGAGCATCGGTCACAGCATTCAGCAAGTGAGTCAGCTTCCGGCTGCTCTCGGCCTCCTGAGCTGCTGCAGCTAAAGGGTACATACCTAGACAAAGAATCAAGGCCATGACTCACTGCTCTGCGAAAAGGAAACAGAAGTTGTGTGCTCAGGCACTAGGCATGCCAACATTCTCCTGACAGGAGGGCAATGATCAAACGGGTTCTGACATCTGCATGGACAGTGGCGTCCCAAGAGCCAGCCCCATGGCTGAATGGGAAGAGTAAGCCTGGCTGAATTTGGCCCAGAATTGTGGCCTTGCCTTGAAAATGTATCAAACCATTAAATGGTGAATGTCATTTGCATGAACAAATACACATACAGAGATGGTCAGAAAGCCCTTGGAGAGCTCTTCATTAAGGGGAGTTTAATAAACATAAACTGCTGACCACTGCTACACAGCTTCTCCCGCCCACCCCCTCGTGTGTGCCATGTGTAGACAGTCACGGTAGGCTCACCGCCACCTCTGTGCAGGCCATGAGCATCCAACCTCTGGCGGCACCTTGCTGGGCACAGGAAGACCACCAGTCTGGAGTCAACAGACCTACTTCACGTCCGCTGTCTGTAGCTCTCTGACCCAAGACCAGTTCCCAGCTCCTCCAACCTCACCTCGTCATTGAGCAAAGCTTGCAGACACGTCTGCTGAGGTCTCCACAACCTTCCCACCAGGTGCCCTGTGTTTAATTCCCCTCTGACTCTAGGATCTGAGACACTGTGGCCTCCCAAAGGTTGCAAAATAACAGCTCAGGTAGCTCTCCTTCCCTCCACCCCATCCCCAACCTCTGACTCCCTGATTCCTGGAAGCAGGAAAATAACCAGCTTCTCTTCCAGATTTTCAATTTCAAACTATAAATAGCAAATATATGAAACCAACAGGGGAAATGCCAATCTTTGACTGTAATGAGAATGAAGGATGGTTGGTACTCCATCACCCACCGAATCTGTTTTGGCAATTTCTGTTCTCTATTTTTATTGGCATTTTCAGTTCAATTAAGGCAAGGGACATACTGAACCAAATTATGCAAGTGTAGTGCTTCACCACATCCCTGCGGCACATCCCTCCATAACGTCTCATGATGCAGATTTAAAATATCCGCCTTTTAAACTGCCCGGAACTGCTTCACTAACCACCTGCTCACCTCCTTCTCCACAGGGACTGAGTCCTCCCACTGTCCCCCCCAGCACGTAACCTGCCCTTCCACTGCAGAGGAAACAAGCCCCAACCTCACCCCAACGTGCCCCTTTGAATGGCCAAAATCAGATCTGCTCTCGGGGTTGAGGCCAACTGGGACAGTTCTCAAGGGCACCAGACTCTCCCTGCTCTTTTCATCCTCAGCTCCCACCACACCTCACCTTGAAACTTAACTTCAATTCCTTGAACAGGTGATGCCCTGAACATGCTAAACTTTCTGCTTAGGAACTCTCTTATCATCCTCCTCTCTCCCTACTCTTGTTATCTATATTCATTCCTCCTTCAGATCCCAGCTTGCTTGAACTTCCTTCTGGAAGCTTCCCCTGATCTGAAAGCTGCATGTCTTCACATATGCCCCACCCCCAAAGAAATTGGACATAAGCACTTCAAGAGCACAGACCCATCACCTAGTGCCATGACTGGTGTGAAAGAAATGCTCATAAATGGAAGAATTAGAATGAATCCCATAGGTTCAAATTTTTGCAATTTTTAGCCAATCACGCCATCATAATTGAAATGATAAATATGCATGCTAAGGCATATTTTAGGTATACCATGGAAAATTATTAATCAAATGAAAATATGGGGAAATTGTTTTAAGCTTCCTTTCCTTAAAACTGACCCCAGCTCCAAAGTCTGTTTCATACATTCTGTCAGAGTTTCTAAAATGTAAGGAGAGAAAGTGGACTCTGTCCTTGCTTATGCTTTTAATTTAATGTTACAAATAATCCAGAAGAAAAAAGCCTATGCCTCCAGATGTCTAAAATCTAGCATAGAAAAGACCCACCTCTCCTATCAGTGGAAACTTTCCAATAGAAACAGAATCCCACTTTCTAACAGCTGAACAGATTAAATTCATCTTGACAACTGTTACGACTACTACCAAACAAGAAAGGAACTTTCCTAAAGGAAGATTTCTTAAATTTGGATTTACCATAAACAAACGCTAGTCATTTACTGCCATGAGTGGTAATTACATCACATGCCTGCCTCACCCTCTGTAATTCTCTCAAATGTTGACAGTCTGTCAGATGCTGCCGGGACGCCATAGCCTTAGTCTCCCATTTGCACAGATGATGCTTTTAGCTTTCACAACAACACAATATGATGTCTCACAGGCTAGAAGGACCGTAAGGAGCCTTGCCAAACAGAAGGCTTTCTACTGCAACGTGTTGTAACAACAAGGAAACTGCTTTCTAAGGAGCACTTTGCTGCACAGAAATGAGTTCTAAACGACTTCTGAAGGTAAGAGAAGCCCCATACTGTGGCATTGGCTGTTCCTCCTGTGCCAACGTGGGACTATACTTCTCAAGCAAATCTTCCCTTTAACAAAGATAGAAGTGGCAGCACACATCAGGTGATATCTGTAGGTGGGTTGAAAGAGATGAGTAAAAGTTTATTTTTTCCATGATCAATTCCCAATGTCCCAGCTGGACATTTCCTATAGGCACATCAACTTAATTGCTGATGTAAGCTGGGCCTTTGTATTGTTTTATAAAAAGTGAATGGTAACAGTAAATGTCAAGATGCCAGAAGCACCAAAGCATTTAGGAGTCTTCTTCACTTTCTCTACAGTTTTCATTGTCCAATAATTTATCATTTCTACTCAAACTGCTTGCTTTCCAGAACTGAGGTAGGGAGTGTACCAGGTTCAAGGGGCATGCCCTGTCAGGCAGGTGAGGCCATATTTACCCAAGGAGAAAACAATATGCAGGCCCGGTCGCCATCTTGTGGTGGCCATCTTTGACTACATGGGGGTGGCCATCTTGTGCGAGGGCGTGACAGTCAATTTGCATATTACCTCTTTATTATATAGGATGGTAGAGAAAAAAGGAACTGTATATTAAGGTTTATTGATAGAGAAGTGATTGAACAATTTATTTTTTTTAATATATATTTTATTTATTTTTTACAGAGAGGAAGGGAGAGGGATAGAGAGTTAGAAACATCGATGAGAGAAAAGCATTGACCAGTTGCCTCCTGCACACTCCCTACTGGGGATGTGCCCGCAACCAAGGTACATGCCCTTGACCGGAATAGAACCTAGGACCCCTCAGTCCCCAGGCTGATGCTCTATCCACTGAGCCAAACCAGCTAGGGCAGTGATTGAACAATTTAGATCAGCGGTTGCCAACTGGTGGTCCGCAGACCACTGATGGTCTGTGAGGTCCGAAAGGTTGGCGACAGCTGATTTAGACAATGCCCTCACTGGAAAGATTAAGTTAGTTCTCTCCTAGTTGACCTGAAGGGTTTTCATAGCATTTTGAAAAGTAAAAAAGCAAGATATGGAGAACTATCTTATATAGTGTCCCAATTTTTTAAAAATTAAAAGCCTACCTTTGTATATGTTAGAAGTGAGGTATTATTTTTTTTTTAATCCTTACCCAAGGATATGTTTTTGTTTTTGTTTCATTGATTCTAGAGAGGGAGGAAAAGCCGGGGGAGAGAGAAATAGAAAGACATCAATCAGTTGCCTCCTGTACACGCCCCAGCTGGGTATCGAACCCTCAACCTGTGTATGTGCCCTGACTGGGAATAATACCTCACAGGCCTGGACAGTGAGTGGTGGGACAACACTCTAACCACTCAGCACACCAGCCAGGGCTGTGAAATATTATTTTAAATTATTATTAAAAGATGGGAGGTCAAAAGAAAAGAAAAAAAAGATGGGAGAAGGTACAAAGTCAACACTATGGTTAAGATTAACTATTTGGTGTTGGGGTAGAAAAGTCAAGCAAAGGCAATTATGGGTACTCTTTCAAAGTACCCATAATTTTTTACATAAGATGTTATGCTGTTTATGTAAAACTAGAGGCCCAGTGCATGAATTTGTGCACGGGTGGGGTCCCTCGGCCTGGCCAGCGATCGGGGCAGGCCGGCCAGGGGGAGAGACTGCAGGAGGTGGGCAGGCTGCAGGAGGTTGGCTGTGGGAGTGCACTGACCACCAGGGGGCAGCTCCTGCATTGAGCATCTGCCCCCTGGTGCTCAGTGCACATCATAGCTACTGTCCTGTCATCCAGTCATAATAGTCGCTTAGGCTTTTATATATATAGACTGGAGGCCTGGAGGCCCGGTACACGAAATTCGTGCAAGAGTAGGCCTTCCATCACCCAGCTTCCAGCACTGGCTTCCCTCTGGTACCTGGGACCCGGGTTTCCCTCCAGCCACCGGCAGGCACCCAGGACCCAGGCTTTCCTCCAGCTGCCAGCAGGCACCTGGGACCTGGGCTTCCCTCGCAGCCCCGGCTTCATCTGGAAGGTCGTCCAAAAGGACGTCCAGTCTAATTAGCATATTATGCTTTTAGTATTATAGATTATGTATATAAGTATGTACATATATTTCTTTATATATATTATCTATAATACTAAAAACATAATATGCTAATTAGACCGGACATCCCTCCAGACTAAGCTGGGGCTGCAGCCACGGGATCAAGGCAGCCGCAGTGGCTATGAGGGAGGGATCCAGATCCAGGCAGCCACCCATGGCTGCGAGGGAGGGATCCAGGCAGCCGCACACAGCTGCAAATTTCGTGCATCGGGCATCTAGTTATTATATATTTCTCTCTCTCTCTCTCTCTCTCTCTCTCTCTCTCTCTCTCTCTCTCTATATATATATATATATATATATATATATATATAGCTCTATCTGTCAATTGATTAATAGGGCTGTTAAAGAATGGTCACCAAAGTTATGGTGGTTTTCTTGTGGGGGGATTCCTAGTAATTTTGGTTTTCTTCCTTATGTTTTGCTTTTGTTAGAATGTTTACAATAACCGGATATTATTTACATAAGAAAAAAACAGCAAAGCTACAACATAATCATATCTTAGATAAGACCTCCCTAATTTCCCAGCTCTAACCCTATATTTCCCTCAAGGCAGGCCCCTTCCTTCCTGGCCCCTCCACACCACATTAGCTTAGGCTCTCGTCACTCTCAGCTCTGACTGGGCACCATGCCTCGGTCTCCCCCCTCTCCAGTCAGTCCCCCATGTGGAAGCCAGGGTAACCTTTCGAGAAGGCCCTGTCCATGACACTCCCATCTGAACCTCTTCCAGGGCTGCTCGATGCCCCAGGCGGCAGTTCCCAGCCCAAGGCAGGCAGTGAATCTTCAGCCATGCACTGTACAGTCCTGTCCACCGCCCTCTGCTCTGTCACTGCGTGGCTTGCAGCTCCTGGCTCACCCAGGTCCTTTCATTCCTCTACACCTATTTCTTCCACCTGCCCATCCCTAAAGACTCATGCACTCCAACATCTCTTGTTTTCCTGTAGTCCTCTGTACATGCTTTATTATAGCACTCGCTCCACCATAAGCTACTTGAAGGCAGGATTATATTTATAATGTCTTTACTGAGTGAACCAATGAATGAACAAATGAATCTGTAAAAGCAGAACTCAAAACAGAAAATACAAGCGCATGTCAACCATTTACAGTGTCTGCATAAATATTGAAAAAGGCTGAACGGTAAACATTTTAAAGTTCATTTTTCTCTTTTCCAGCAAAGTGGCTTGAGCCACTTTTTAAATTAATACTGGTAATTTGCCCAATGAACAATTTATATTCAAGTTAACTACAGTTTAAATTCCTAACAGAGAAGTCAGAAAGAAAGCCATTTTCCCCTTTTTAAATAAAATAAGTTGTTCAATACTCTTCTAGAAATAGCATTCCTCACCACCACCATCTCCCCCCCCCCCCGCCCCATTCCCCTTCCCAATAAAACACGGCCCAGCTGTGGGTTACTCACTGGAGTTCAGGAGGATCATGGCCTTGACACAGAGATACTCGTTGTGTTGGAGTTTTAACTCACGAAACCTTGAAGTCGTTGCCAGGAGCATGTCAAAGATTTCCAGAATTCCTTCCACGCATTTCCCCTCATCCCTACAATAGTTCATTTGGAAATTTAAGAAAATCACAGCCACCAACAAAGGCAATAAGGAGTATTTTCTTTTTAAACTTAAATTTCATTTTGTACATGCTTTAACTATAACAAGGTGGCGATGAGACCACACCCAGAGATATGAAATCATCAGAATTATCTTCTTATAAAGAGAACAGGGCATTTCCTATAAATACCTAAATTAAACACTTGAATAAATACTATTTAGGCAAAAGCCTGCATTGGAACTACATTTTTTTTCTACCTGTTCATAAATGTTATCTTAAAGGAATAACATTTTTGTTGGTAATCTAAGCCATGTCAGCCAACCAGCCTGTGACATGACACATATTACTGAAGTGAGACATTCCATGGCCCCATGAGATGGCTCTAAAGTGTTCATGAGGAAGATTGACCATTACAGAAGCTAATATCCCAAGACGAAATAACCCTTCATATCTAGGGTTTAACTCTCATTTCCTGGTGGTCATTTAGAAACTGGAGGGGCAACTAAGAGACATGTAAATGTAATTTGAAAAAAGTTAGCATGACATACAAAGAAATAACAATTAAAGAAGATAGATTAGAATTAGAAAAGGCAGAGATGGAGACATGGAAATGTCTGACTTGCCAAAGATTATTTTTAAGCAATAGTTTTAGACAAACTTTGAAACATGAAATCAAAATTCTTTTCAGCACTCCTTAAAGAAATGATTCTTTAAGTATACATTTGAAATAAATTACTTTAAAATACCAGCTAGAAAATATCAGCTTCAATTAACTCCCACCAGACACTTATTATTCTGCCTCACTGCTCCCCAAAAATGTCTATCATCATTTGTCTTAAGAGTTATTGGAAGTCCTTGATAAGCAGTTAGATGATTGTGCTACAAAACTTTCATTTGCTTCTAAAAACCCGTGGCAAACAGTAAAGGGCAGCCATGGGTTTCTTTGAGTTTCATTTTCAGTCTCCGTAGCAGCCCCGGGGAGATTTAAGATCTTCAAAGAACTGACTATCCCCCCTTCCTTCCCCCAACCCCAAGCCAGGCCATTTACGGGGATGGTGGTGGTTGAGGAAGGGCCTCTGTAGAATTCAAATAAACAGACACCAGCGGGTACTGCCAAACCTGGGGAAGCCCTTCCCGGACAGTGCTGTGCTAGGACAGCAGCTCACCAGGACCCTGCATTCCACAGCATTCGAAACCTCTTACCCCCAGACTCACCTACACAAAGCTACAAGCATGCAAACTGCTCACTTTGGCAAGCAAGCATGGCAACTTCTGCAACCAGCTGAGACTTTCTGGAAGTGCACTCATCTATATATATAAAAGCCTAAGCGGCCATTATGACCGGTTGACCAAATGACTGGTCACTATGACACACACTGACCACCAGGGGGAAGATGCTCAACACAGGAGCTGCCCCCTGGTGGTCAGTGTGCTCCCACAGCCAACCTCCCACTGTCCCTCCCCGCCGCCGGCCAGCCCTGATCGGGACTAGGCAAGACATCCCTGATTGGCCCCAATCGCCAGCCAGGCCAAGGGACCCCACCCACGTACAAATTCGTGCACCGGGCCTCTAGTTAAATAATGAAACCACCAGTGTCCTGAAGTCACTCATAGGGAAAGGCCACCTTGGAGAATCAGAGCCCTGACAAAGGGTGCTAAAATCTGTAGGGAACCCCTATCCCTCCCCTCACCCTAGCCTACTGCCTCCCCTGCTCTGCACTTCCCCAGGCAGCCTGCTGCAAGCATCCAGTAAGGACAATGCATGTCCTGCACATAGCAGAGGCACAAGAAATTCTTGTTCACTAATTACCCCTCATGCCACACCATCAAATCACTCTGCCTAGGGAGAAGCAATACTAGAAATTATGATTATTGGGCTTGAGGACATCTTATACTGGGAAAAGCTGGTTTTAAAATATCTCTGGAGGCAAAAACAAAAAAATCCACCAACTCCTGAATAATGGTTGTTTCTTTATTCTTCTGTGAAACTCAGTCACAGGTGAGTTTATGCACACACCAGCGCACATGTGTGTGCGCGCACACACACACGCTCACCACCAACCCTAAGTAGTATAAGGGGACTCATCTGAAATCAACCCTATTTATAGAAGTTATCACCAATGCCTAAGAACAGGTCCATAAACATTGAAATTAGTACCCTTTCCTCATTAAAATACATGCCATATTTAATGCAAATTCATATTTCAGAAATGAAGGAAGAGTTTACATCTTAGAGCATAAGCTTTGACAAATGCTGTAACTAACAGTAATCAGAACATGTGTACCTCATGGAGAAGGTGAATTTCTAAGCCACCTCTAAAGAACTAAGTCTGATTTGCTTTCTCTAGCAGGTGTGATAGCCAACCATTTCATTCAAGGAGTGGCAAAGTTACAATACTTTATCTCACAGGCTGTAGAAAATAAATGAGCAATATAGGATCAGTAAGGCACAATACCTCCTAAATGATACCCTAATATAGTTACACATAGAGAGAATTATGCAGAACAGAGTGAGGAAGGACTTTAACAAATTAATGAGCTCTATATAATTGTAACTACAATTGACAGTGAATTATGTGTAAGAAATTAGGACAGGATTAAAATATTTGAATTCAGGACAGAGGGTAAATGAGTTGAATGTTAAAATGTTGAAACAATATGTCAATCAAACCAGTCTACTCATGGTAAATTACTGCACACCATTTGTCCATAAACTAGTTTTAAGTTAAAAAGTAGTAGTTCCATGGAAAAAGACTTGACTTTGGGTAGTAAACACACAATGATGTATTATAAAATTGTACACTTGAAACATATATAATCTTATTAACCAATGTCACCCCAATAAATTCAATAAAAAATTTTTAAAGTAGCAGTTCCATATGGACTATCTTATTATTTGATAACCACACCCCTTTTATAAAAGAAAAATATTCTGTTTGATACCAAGGACAAAATGTTACATGAGTAAGCCTCATTTTGGGGTACACTATTTTGTGCCTACTTATATATCCACTGGCAGCATCCATGTGGCTGCAGACCTCAGTTTACCTCTGTGTGGATGGCAATGGGAAGAGGGGCTCAAGGCTTAGCGCATGGAAAGAACTTAAATATTGTACTCAAGTGGAAATGTGAGTACAAAAGGGAACTGAAAATTTAGAAGTGAAAATTCTGTTGGTACCTTGAAGAATATTTGGTACACAACTAATGTGGATGCAAACTCAGAGCACTCATAATTATGTGTATGGTTCCACGAATCCCATAAACACTCATAATGGGGTCCAAGCCCAGATCCAAACCTCCTCTGACTTTTTAAATAACATTTAACATTAGACAGTTTTCTGTTTATGCTAAGGACACCAAGTGTCTTAGCATATATGATTTTTTTTAGCAAATAGAAGCTCACATTCTGTGGTAGATCTTCATCAGAATTTGTGATTCTAGCGGTTACTGAAAGAACTACCTTGTTAGAAATAAGCTGAGACAACCGGATTTTCCTCTCATCCTCAGTAGGTTCAAATTTTCCCTCTGCAGAAGCCTCAACAAGTAGCAAAGGAAGCAGAAATTATATTCTCAGTCTCACAAATGGGTTAATTTAATTGTATTCACTGCTTATATGGTCATACCACCACTTGAAGGAACTCTGATAGGACAATTCACCAAAAGACAGTTATTTTAAGTAGTGTGAAAATTATTTATTCACATTGTAAAAAAGATTCATAATAGAATGTCTTTATGGTGGATTTCATAGTAGAATTTCCTTATGACTTCTTGAATAAGTAGCATTTTGAATATTTTTGAATAAGCAATTCCTCCAAAAATATACTCATTACATAAGAACATATTTTTCTCTATATAATAAATGCACTAAAAATCTTAGATTTGAAATTCTAGACTTTACAGAGTTAATGTGTTAAAAACAATAACAGGAATGGCAACAAAAATAACCATCCATAGGCACTCCAAAATAATGCCTGCTCAATGTCTGCATTTACAATTCCCAAGAACTCCTCTTCTATGGTCCAATAAACTAGATTTATGTTGTAAACAATACTTTCAAATATTTTTAAAGAGTAATGTGAGGCCCTGGCTGGTTTGGCTCAATGGATAGAGAGTCGGCCTATGGACCGAAGGATTCCAGGTTCAATTCCGTTCAAGGGCATGTACCTAGGTTGCAGGCTCCTCCCTGGCTCAGACCCTGGTCAGGGCTAGTGCAGGAGGCAACCAATCGATGTGTTTCTCTCACATCAATATTTCTGTCTTTCTCTCTCTCTTCCACTCTCTCTAAAAATCAATGGAAAAATATCCTCAGGTGAAGATTTAAAAAAATAAAGAGTAATTTGAGTCTGTAAAAGAGTAATGTGAGTCTGTTAAAACAGTATCTCAAAACAATGACTTCTGGTGCCCCCCCTCCCTGAAGCACACCTGTGCCTTTTCTTTTCCCTTCCCTTTTCCCCCTCCCCTACATTGCCCCCCCCCACAAATGACTTCTTTGTGTGTGTTTTTTCTATTAACTAAAAGCTGCACTTAAAATTTATCTAGAATTTGTGTCAATTTATAGTAACTTACACACATACTTGCAGAAGTTAAAGAGCCCATACAAAGAGGAGAGTGAATTGTACTAAAAACCAGGAATGAAACAGTCATTGAAAATTAACACTAAGTATGGCATCAATTTAGAAATCAAGACAAAAAAGTAAAATACCTTAATCCCAAGTCTGAAAATGTATTGGTTCATCAAGGGACAGCACTAACTTCTAGGAGAATTGTGTGTGTGTGTGTGTGTGTGTGTGTGTGTGTGTGTGTGTGTGTATGAAGGGGGGAATGAATGTGGCTTTAAACACCAAGTGGAACATAATGAGGGAATGAATGAATGAATGAACAGGAAGGATGGCTTGATTGGCTGCTTAGCCTTTCAGCCTGCTTCACAACATGGTACCATGAAATGACAACAGGTATAGGTTTCTGAAGTGGGCAGGGAATAGAATAGAGTTGTTCTAAGACAAAAGTAGAAAGTTAGTTTGCCTTTTAGCCTCCTCCTCTTCCCCCTTCCAGTTCTCTATCCAACTGAGAGGCATGTGCTGTTGTGGTTAAGAGCGTGGATTTCACAGCCAACCCTCCAAGTCCAGCCCTACCATTTACTACTCTATAACTGTCAGAATTACCTAACCTCACATTCTCATACCTGAAGGATAGAGATAATAATGGTGCTTACCCAGAAAGGGCAACTGTGAAGATGAAATGAGTGAACACACATCAAATGTGAAAGATGGTGCCTAGCCCTGGCTGGTTTGGCTTGGAGGATAGAGTGTCAGCCTGGGGACTGCGGGCCCCGGGTTCCAGTCAAGGGCACATGCCTGGGTTGCGGGCTCGGTCCCCGGTGGGGGGCGGGCAGGAGGCAGCCGATCAATGATTCTCATCATTGATGTTTCAATCTCTCTCCCTCTTCCTTCCTCTCTGAAATCAATAAAAAATTGTAAAAAAAGATGGTGCCTGGCACACACAAGCCAATACGTTAGCTAGTTTTATTGTTACTAGAGGGTCCTACCTGTCCAAGGCTTTCAGAACCTCCCTCCGTGGTTTGCCATCTGGGCTTGCTCCTGCTTCAGCCACATTCCCTATTCCAGCTCCTCCCAAAGGCTCTGTTCTCTACCCAAACACCTCCCATTACTTACAACAGTACTCTTTGCCAATGTTGCCGTGCATGACCGGTAAAATGGGTGCTAACATCTTGGGGATACTTTTCATCTGTCTCACATGATGATCTAAAAAGGTAACACCAAGAGCTGGGGCAGATATTTCCATTCACAGCACTAGGTACCTTCTCCTCTGCAGAGTCAAATGTGGCTGAACATTCAACACTAGAACCTTTTTGAAATGTGGAAGTTAATTGCCATGGAAATTTTCACATTACTCAAGTTTGCACCAAGGAAGAATTCTATTTTACCTACTAAAATGCTTGAGTGTCGCCTAGTCCAGATTTCCTTCCATGAATAGTTCACCTAAGCTAGTGAGAAATCTTTTAAAAAAACTAAATGCAATCAAGTTATGGCATTCCCCAATTTCTGTTAACTTTCATCTAGTTTTAATAACCATTCCTTCCGCTGCTATTGCCAAAAATACTATATAGTATCAGCAATTAGAATGAGTTAAAGAATGTTACAATGAACCTGGCAGATTGTAAGAATTTTATCACCTTCCAGATAGCTGGCAATGTAATTGGTCCTGACAGGTGGAAAGAACAGCAGGACAACTTAAAATTATAACCTGAAAATGGGACTTTTAAACAGAAAAATCTAAATTGATTTATCTACACTTGGTGGCCACATACCCTGCAGAACACAGGCCCCCCCATTATGGCTGCCACACTAAGAATGAGTCATAGGACACTGAATCTTTGTACCCATTCTCTCCTTTTCTGGTTCTTGACCCAGTGAAGGAGCTCATGACATTATAATCCTCTTAATTGCCCTTCCAGGTGAGAGATTTTAATTGCAGCCCCAGGACACCATGCTTCACTCAAGGCAGAAAAGAAACAGTGCATTTTTTCTCACCTGTCCAGAACAAGGTCTGGAGCAAAGATGAGCTTGCCAGGGTGGTCGATGGAGCGCCACATCAGCCCCACCATTAGCACCTCCATCCAGCAGTTCTCCAAGAGCCGCACTTGGTCATACAGGCTGAGCTCCACAAAGCCTGGGGAAAGCGAGAGGCTGTGAGACGCAACCGCCCTCCCCCGCGGCTCCCCATTTCTCTAGGAACAGAAGAGCAACTTTTCAAAAGCTTTGAAAACACAAATATAAGGATCTATATTTTAAAGATGTGGTTAAATGCTGACCTAAGAAAGAAAGTTTTGAACTTAAGGTGTGCGACTCAAAATTTTCAGTCCTAAACCCCTTCTAGGGATACATATACTTCATTTAGCATTTATAAAGGACTGTTATCTGGGCGTATACAGCTCCGCAGACAGATGCTAGTAAAGAACAGGAAGCTGGGACCAATCTTTGTTGGTTATATCCCAATAATTGCCCTTCACTGCTGAGAAAGATAACCCGGGCTGCCAGCCAGAGGGGCTGCCTGTCTGGCCCCGTCCATGATTGGGGCTGCGGGGAGTGAGGGGCATGCAAAGAGAGCAGGGCCAGCCCCTGTAGAAAGTCAAGGCTTCAACTGAAAGAATTTTTCCGATTGCTTAAGATTTCCCATCCAGTGTTAGAATCATACTTCTCTGCGTAGGAGCGCTGACCTAGGCTATTCTACCCTGAAGAGCAAATATAACAACTTATAACAACTGAAGCGGGTCCCGACAGCCTGATAGCCTAATAGCACGCATTAGTCAAAGAACTGGAAAGTAAACAGGTAATCTCTAGGGAGCTGAGCACTTCAAAAGTAAAGCAGAGCTCGCAGATGCTTTCTCCACCAGCCATGATAAAAGGAGCCGGCAGTGTAATATAAAGACAGTCACCAAACCTACAGCCTTGGCGTGTAATGGGCTCCAGTTAAAACTCCCAGCTCGGCCTCTCCCTAGCTAGTTACTTAATCTCCTTTTAAGTCTTTGTTTTCTTATAAGCCCAATAGGGGTAGCAATGCCTGCCTCTGAGAATTTCCTACAGGTACAATCTCATCATCCTCACTTTACAGATGAGGAAACTATGGCACAGGGAGCACCTGTGGTTCAAATCTTTGACAATTAAAATGCAAATCTGCACACAGAAGAATGAATGGAGTAATGAATGGAAAGATGGACAAATCCTTTCCAAAGCCACATTCTAAGCTCAATTCAGGTTCCTATGATGTGTACGCATTCCGATCTCACCCACAGTTATAGACAATAAGCCTACCAACGGAGACCAAGCTTTTTATGCTTGTAGATATTCACCAAGATCAAGGCTAGGTGATATTTTAATATTTCTTTTGGTTTGGACAATGACTATATCAGCTGAGAGGTCGGGGGAGGGAGGGATCACAGCTTCAGACTATGCCTAAGTTTTCTGAAAACTTTTCAAAATACCAGGCTTGAAGAGCGTTAGAGTTAGGTTGTGTTATGGCACAAAGAAGCTGCACGAGTCTCAGCAATAATTAATTTCAGCACTGCTCTCTACTTGGGGTTCTGAGAAATAGTGTTTGGAAAACATATAGAGCAAAAGCTAGAGGAAATGCATCAGTATTGTCTTCTCCGGGAAAGAGAAGAGAAAATAATATAATTCTGGCAAAGGTGATGCTAGCCCAGCCGTGGGCAAACTACGGCCCGCAGGCCGGATCCGGCCCGTTTGAAATGAATAAAACTAAAAAAAAAAAAAAAAGACCGTACCCTTTTATGTAATGATGTTTACTTTGAATTTATATTAGTTCACACAAACACTCCATCCATGCTTTTGTTCCGGCCCTCCGGTCCAGTTTAAGAACCCATTGTGGCCCTCGAGTCAAAAAGTTTGCCCACCCCTGTGCTAGACTATCGAAACAGAACTGGAAACCAGAAAATCCTCAGGGAACTCAAAAGCCAACAAATGATCCCAAGAGATACTATTACCCTAGGCCTGGGCCCCACAGCTCTTTACCCCCAACTGCTCTTCATCAGCTTCTTAACACTTCCAGTCTTTCCAGTTCGCCCAATGTGGGTGCTGCCCCCAAGGCCATGGGAATTGTCCCTAGTTGCTTAAAACTTGGAGAGAGACCTCATTTTTAGATGTCTGTAAAGATGTGCAAGGAGAAGCCCTTTCGGAGGGTGATGGGTTGCTGCCAGTCTAGTTTAGCATCCTAGATTCATTCTCACAAAAAAACACCAAGTCAAATAATAATTAGGTGGTAGTTTTAGTACAATGCAGTACTGCAGGTTATGTAGTACCGAAGGCCTAAGAAAGAGACCACATTTCAGGCTGGAAAATACAGGCTCCAAGTGACCACTAGTGAATCATCAAACCCATTTTTAACTTGATGGTATTTCAGGTTTACTGATGATTCATGTTATTTCAGCTGCAGATTTACTCTCTTTGTCCATATATATTTATTCATGTACATACTACTAATTCTATCTCTACTGGAACAATAGCTTACAAATTCCTACTTAGGATCTGACAAACCTTTTACTTGCACAATGGTCATACTGCACCCACTGCACCTCACCTGCCTACACCCCCCTCTCAATGTGAGGAGTCCACAGCCAGGAGACTGGTCAGTGTGGAGCCCAGATCCCTTCCTTTTAGACCATGTTCCAGGTCCCAAAGCCCTCAAATTTCCTGCCCAAATGGCCCCAAGCCAATTTCCAGACTGGTCTCTGCCCTGGTCTATTCTCCTAGACAAGGCATGAGAGGTGACCAAAGGCTAGTGTCCATAGTACAGGTGGACATGCAGGGTTGGGTGTGCACATGGCTAGGTGGGATGCAGCTGGGGATGGGTAAAAAAGAGCTGGGAACAGAATAGAAGGGGCCCTCCATATATACAAGCCTTCCTGCTCTGCCATGTCTGGTACAGAACCCAGAGGAGCCCAAGAATTCTAAATTGGAACCTGGCCACCCAGGCCATGTTGAAGGTGTAAATGTCAAGCTAGGAAGAAAGAACCTATTTCATTTACAGGTTGTAAATCAAGCTGTCAGACTGTTAAACACAGAGACATCTCTGTGGACCTCCATTTTGTACTCTTGCCCCGTAAATGTTAGGGGCAGGCCTTTCTACAAACACACAGAAAGCCAAGACCCAGAGAGCCCTACCCGGAATTTTCTTGGCCCAGCCGATCATGTGCACCAGTTCCTTGTCGGCCAGCTTGGTCAGCGACATCATCATGGAGGCCTCGGTGAAGGGCGCGCTGGGGCGGCTCACCAGCACCTTGGGCGGCTCCGCCTCCAGGAGTGTGAGCACCAGTTGTTCCGGGCTCAGGGCGCTCAACAGTAGCTCCTTCACTCGGCTCACATGTCCATTTTTCTTGGCTTTGTTCAGACAGTGCAGCTGCTCATCGGAACTTCTCTGCCTGCGTACTATGCGGTACCCACACCGTTCCCTCCGGGAGCCTAAAGTGGAGAGCAGATAACAGTGCTTTCCCCTGTCCCTCCCCGAACCCAGCATTCAAGTTCCCCGAGTAGCCAGGGTAAAAATGAGTCACTAACATCATTGTAAGACCTGAGTCTAGTCTCAGAATGTGTCTTAGAACAGAAGCCCGACTTATTTTCTGGAGCCTGCAGGGCATGGACCAAAGATTATTATATTTGTGACTGTATTAGCAAAATCAGGAACATGAATTTCTAGGGACAATAGCCCAGAAGATCTTCAGGTCTCCATTTCAAGGTAATCTACAGATACTAAATCCATTTCTCTTTTAAAGAGTGATGACATATCTCAGTTTCCAAACCATGAAATTAGGAATTTTCTTCAAGCAGAAGATGGGGAAAAGTTAGGAAATGAACATTGATATTTCCAAACAGTTATCAAACAATACACTTTTATAATACATTCTTAAAATGTTTGCATGCATGTGTTTGTGTATCTATATGTATGTGTATATATTCTTTTCAGGCACACAAAAAAGTATATTTCAAATAATAAATTAATTTTTAAAAATCTGGAAAATATAGAAGAGCACAAATTTTGGCATGTTCTTTTAATGCTTTTTTTACTTTTCCATATTTTAATATATAAAATGATAATCATAATGTATATACTATGATAATCATAATGTATATACTATTATATAACCTGCTTTTTATAATAAAAGATAATTCAAAACTCATATATATCAAAACAACAAAAGCAACAAAACCTAGTCTACAAATATAACACCAAAAAGTGATTGAAAGAAAAATAGAAATTGACAAATACACTAATATTATAATGAAATATTTTAACATATCTTTCTCAGCACTTACAGAGCAGAAATATAGGAGAAAATGTTCAGAAATCAGCTCAATGAACAAAGTTGATCTATAAAAACTCATGGACATTTGCAAAAATTATCACATACCATGTCATGAATAAAATCTTAACTAAAAATGTTCTCATATAGAGCATATTCTCTGACTACAATATAACAAAAATAGAAATTAACAACAAAAATATAACTTCCAAACCCCTATAAATTTTAACACAAAAGTATTTCTAAAGATCCATTGATTACAGACCAATGTGAATTAAAATTAAGAAAGATATGTCAGAATGTAATTAACATGGGTACAATTTTATATGAATTTTCCCTCAAAGAAAAAAATCTAAAAGTTCAAATCTGCAAAATGTCTAGTTTCTGTATTACCAATATATTTGTTCACTAAATTCAATTGTCCACATTTTTTAAAAATTTGTTAATTAGCAAGTATGAGAAAATTTTAATTATTTGCTCCCAAGAACATTTATCTGAATTTCTTCTTATCCTTGGCTAGTTGCAGTAGAAGGAAGGACTCCATCCATTTAGAGATAATTTGAATCAGACCTATTACTAAAAGAATTACTAGTAAAAGCCTAAAACATACTCATTTTATTAGTAATCAGATAGAGTGCTACAGACAGTTAAGATCAATTATTAACCCCATGGTAAAATGGAACAAAATGTTTGGTTTAAGAAAGTACCTTTCTGATCACACATTTCTTTTTTGTAGAGTATATGAGAATAAGGAGTTTACATATAAAGAGAAAGGTTTTGAATCCATACATTCAAATTTATTTGACCAACTTTTACTGATAAAGCACTTATATACCAGGCCCTGTACTAAGTTATGGGGATTCTGGGATCAATCAAACAAAGCCTTTGATAAGGAACTCACATTTTTCTACCAAGGACATTTCTAGTGTCCTGATTGTGACACTTTAATCTTGGCAGAGTCTATGTGCCTGTGAGTGAACCTAATGAGAAACCACCAAATGGTAGTGATCATCTACTGTAAGCTTCTATGTGTTAGATACTGTTTATAGTACATAGATTATCTCATTCTGCAAACCGCCCTAGAGGACAGGTACTACTACTATCTCCAACATACAGAGGAATAACCAGGCACAGGAGATTGCAAATCACTTCCCCAAGATAGAAAAGCTAGAAAATAGCAGAAGCAGGATCTAAACCCAATCAGTAGTCTAAATCCCGAGCTGGCGCTTTAAGTCACTCATTTATATCACCTCTCTAGCAAATTTCTTTCACGTATATTTCACCTGTATACCTGAAAAGATGTCTGAGAGATGCTGAGCTCTTGTCCCAACACAGATCAAGTACATTTACATTTCAGTGTATCCTTCCAGAGAAGCTAGTCTGAAGTTAGTCTGATGGGTGTCCTCCTGCCATTTAGACAACTATAGCAATACCGCAAAAGAAAAGAGAGAATTGGAAATGCAGAAGAAAAAAATTGGTAACAGAAGAGACATGACTTCTGGATAAAAAAGGGAAGTGGAATGGTGCAGGAAAACCCAGAATGCGTATAGGAACCCTAATCCTCTAAGACTGGATAGAAGGAAGATTGTGGGTAGAGGGTTTGGGGGGAGGGTAGACGAGAAAAGTGCTGGGAAAGTAGAGAGGCGTCGTTCAGAAAATTCATTCCTAATTGTCCTTCTCAGGGGTCAGTAAAGGGCCAAATATCCAACTGTTTGTACATTAACCCATCTCATTTCTTCTGTAATCTCCAACGATATTTTTTCTTAGAGATTCCCTACCCAGTGACTTTTTGGCCAAATTCAATTCTCTTTTTCTCATTCTCTTTTCCATGAAAGTTTCTAATTACGTACATCTCTATACTTTGCGTCATGAGTCTGTACTGTATCAAACTCACAACTGTATGAGATTTTCAATGGGGGTTGGGGGGAAAGGAACACTAAAATCTCATACCTATTCCTCACAAAACTCAATTAAGCAGGTATCTCTGTTTCAGAGATAAGAAAACTGAGGGTCAGAAAGGTCAAGTCGTTTGAGCACAGTCAGAGCCAGAAGTGATGAGACAAAAAAAAATGAGATTCAGTCTATGGCAGTCCAGTCCTCCTATTCTTCCCACCACATACACTGCCCCCTACAGGTGGAGTGTACATGTGCTGCTGCCCTGGTCCTGAACTTGATCAGGCTACAGCCATCCAACAGATCCTAGTATATAATAGATCCTATGACTAAATTGTAAATCATGTTTTTAAAAATATACACTTACATTAAATATTGTTAACTTAAACCATGAAATATGTATTTTCAATCTTTTTTCAGAAAGCAAGGCTTTCTCTTTAAGCACCTCTGCCAATTAAATCACATTATTTTCCTGCATAAGCCATACCCATGATACACTGACAATGAATTTTCAGTTTCAGCTTCTTTAAAACAGAGTAAAACCTAGGCACTCATAAAGCAATCTGAATTCAGAATCTTTATAGGCTTGTAACTTCCCCCTCAATCTCACCCATACTTACCTAACACAATCACTATCCGTCCTATAATTTATAGTTTTATCCAAAGCTTTCACAGAAACAACTGTTTTCCCACTCATATTTCATATGTTTGCACAAACTTTCATTAGATTATAGAATTTAACAATTATAATGAGTAGAGGTTTGGGAAGAAGCCCAATGGTTACTGACAAGGATATAACTGAAGTGGTGAGAGCAGAAATGTTCGAGTGTTTTAGAGAGTAACCAATACACATGGGCTTTGAGAGGATGTTTTACAGAGGAAACGGAAAACATCGGTGCTTCTGGGAAGCCAGAGAACCGTGCTTAAATTAAGAGAGCTTCTGCTGTAATTCTGAACTAGGTGAGGGGTCTTATCTATTGTTCATATGAAGAAAAACAGGACAGAGAATGTTAAAGAGACAAAGTTACTAAAAGATCTTCAGATAGGAAAAAGAGAGATTTGTTTTAAAACTTTTAAATAGTTACAAAGAGAGAAATTACACTAACCACAGGGAAAAGTTTGGCTAGCAGAAGAGTAAGAAAAGTACAGACAGAGTTGGTATGAGTGTATAGAAACATGCAAGTGTGTACAGACAAATGAATCAAAAGTTAGCTAGGTGGAAAGAACAGGATGCAGGCATTACTGTCAGCTGTTATACTAATGTGCTCATTTTCCTTTGTGTGTTTTTTTCACTAGTCAATAAGGGAATAAAGAAATTTTCATGTATGTGTATATGTATATGTGTGTATGTATGTGTGTGTGCAGATATATATATTTACACAGGTATATGCACACATATATATTGTCATAGAACAAAATCTATGCTTTATGTACTTTCCATAGTTCCATCATATTTCTGACTCCTATGCATTTCTTCCCCACTTCTAGAAAGCTATTGGAGGGATAGGCATGAACCTATCTATGCCACCCAAGTAACACAAAATATGCTACTTTCCTGTCAGCTTTAACATGAGCATTTACCAGACCTTCATCCTTAGACTTTTCAAGGCCTCAGGTAGTTGGTCATCTGGCCCCTGTGTGAGCACTTCAGTGGCTCGAGTTCCCTAATCCATGTGGCAGCCTATTCTGTTGTTAGACCACTTGAATCACAGAAAGTTCTTCCCTATATTGGGCCAAAATCTGCCTCCTATAACTTACTCCCACTCACTCCAGCTCTATCTTCTGCAGATACAAGGCATAAGTCAACGCCACCTCCAATGTGACAGCATACAAACACTTGAAGATAATTAACAAATCCTAAATCTCCTCTCACCCAGACTACAGGTCCTTTTAGCTTTCCGCATGTCCCACTTACAATAAAAAGGGAAATGAACACTCACCACACTTCACCATCCCGACTTCATAGCACTTCCGAAGTCGGCAGGCTTGGCAGCTTTTGCGCCGGTTCTTATCTATTGTACACTGATTTGTAGCTGGACAAATATAATCAGTATGTCCTACAGCAAAGCAAAAAGATGAAGGTTATTGTTACAATATGTTCCTCGCCAACAACACTGATTATGCTACCCAGCTGAGAGATAAGGGGCATCTTCTTAATGACAGGCACAGGTACAAAGGCCAAGTTCGGCCTCATCCATGCCTTGTTAGTAAAGGAAACCTGGGAATATTTTAATACCCTACTTTTTGACTAATAGGTTATTCTCTGCATGTACTTAGAATTCTCAAGAGATACATTTAGAAATGTTCTCCTTTGGACATGGAAAGTGACACAGTCACCTGGAAGTGATTTGCTCCAAATCACAGAGCTCCTCAAATATCAGGTCACAAATTCAACTGCTTATATTCTTTAACATATATCCCCCTTTGAGATCTAACATGATATTCTTATGGGAATTCATAGTCAAATAAAAGAACTAAACTAGCTTTCCACGCTACCCAGGGAGGGCTCCATACGGCGTTGTTCTCGGTTCCCACGTAACTTAAAGGGAAACTTTTCACAATGTCCGGAGCCCTTGATGTCCTGCAAATGAAGGAGGAGGATGTCCTCAAGTTCCTTGCAGCAGGAACCCACTTAGGTGGCACCAACCTTGACTTCCAGATGGAACAGTACATCAACAAAAGGAAAAGTGATGGCATCTACATCATCAATCTGAAGAGAACCTGGGAGAAGCTTCTGCTGGCAGCTCGGGCCATTGTTGCCATCGAAAACCCAGCTGACGTCAGTGTCATATCATCCAGGAATACTGGCCAGCGAGCTGTGCTGAAGTTTGCTGCTGCCACTGGAGCCACTCCTATTGCCGGCCGCTTCACTCCTGGAACCTTCACCAACCAGATGCAGGCAGCCTTCTGGGAGCCAAGACTTCTGGTGGTTACTGATCCCAGGGCTGACCACCAGTCTCTCACAGAGGCGTCTTATGTTACCCCGCCCACCATCGCTCTGTGTAACACAGACTCTCCGCTGCGCTATGTGGACATCGCCATCCCTTGCAACAACAAGGGGGCTCACTCAGTGGGTCTGATGTGGTGGATGCTGGCCCGGGAAGTACTCCGCATGCGTGGCACTATCTCCCATGAACACCCGTGGGAAGTCATGCCTGATCTTTACTTCTACAGAGATCTTGAAGAGATTGAAAAGGAAGAGCAGGCTGCTGCTGAAAAGGCTGTGACCAAGGAGGAATTTCAGGGTGAATGGACTGCTCCTGCTCCTGAGTTCACTGCTGCTCAGCCTGAGGTTGCAGACTGGTCTGAAGGCATGCAGGTGCCCTCTGTACCCATTCAGCAGTTTCCTACTGAAGACTGGAGTGCTCAGGCTGCCACTGAAGACTGGTCTGCAGCCCCCACTGCTCAGGCTACTGAATGGGTAGGGACAACCACTGAGTGGTCCTAAGCTGTTCTTCCACAAATTCTTAACAGAACGGAAATAAGGTTGATGGAAAATAAAGTTTCTTAAAAATAAATAAATAAATAAAATAAAAAATAAATAAAATAAATAAAAGAACTAAACTAGTCAATAAGGGAATAAAGAAATTAGCAAACTAAGTAAGAACAAAAGAATTGCTATAACAATGGTTGAAGATTAGATTCTTCTCAATTCTTCACTCCCTCCCTCAGCCTTGTGACCTTGTAGTGTGCTAGAGTGGGCAGAACATACTTTCCCACCAACTGATGATGGACTTGGCCATGGGACTTGCGTTAGCCAATGGCATGTTTGTAGATGTGCTACTCCAACAATATGGCTTGGCCTCAAGTCCCCATAAGAAAATACCTCAGGTAGCCACTGGCCCAGGACAATATGGAGAGAAATGGAGATGTGAACTCAATCCAAGCTTTATGAAAAGAGCCAACCTAACAACTCACAGACCTACAACTAAGAAAAATAGTGCTCATTGTAGTAAAATACTAGTTATATTGCAATCTCTAACTAAAGACAATGGTACTTCTTTTAATTCTTTTAAGGAAGAGAGAAGAAAATCTCCATTTCAGAAATTGTTTCAGACGCTACATGGAGGATGGATTAGAGACAGTAAACTGATGGAGGCCAGGAGACCAGGTGAGAACCTGCTGTAGCTGTGCAAACCAGAGATGAGGCTGTCTGGGCTGTGAAATGGTACGGAGATTGAAGAGAGCTATCAGAATCTGAGAGATTTAGGGGATGTAATAGGAGAGAATAGAATTATAATTAAAAAGATGAAAAAGAAAAGTGCAGAGGACATTTTGGTACCTTATTTCTTAATTGTGTCTTTCTAATAAACAATATGGCCTGAACTTCTTAAATTCAAGCTACAATGGGCCAGAATTTCAACATGGGAAATGGATGAGTCTCAATGATAAATTAAAAGGGCAAGTCATAAAAGAAACAAACAAAAAATAAAGGAGAAGATTCATTTATGTAAAGTTCAAAAATAGAGAAAATGACACTGCATTGTTTAGGGATGTATGCTTAGGTGGTAAAACCATGGCAAGGGCGTCAAAAGTTAGGATTGTCTTACCTCTGTAGGAAAGGAAGGAGCTGTGACTAGAAGACCACCCAGAGGACTCTGAAGATATCCTATTTCATGACCTGAGCACTAGTTACACAGGCATTTGTATTCCTTAAACAGGATATAAATAAATACTGGAATAAATACATTCCTTAACTCTATCCTCTCAGAGAGCCTGGAAGCAGGGACATCCAAGAACAATGAACGAACTAGCACCCAGATCTTGGTTTATAAATATCATTCTCTTTTCAAGAAGAAACGGGGCTCTTTGGAGAAACAGTTTATTTCAGGACTGGGGCAGAGATAGTACAAGATGAATCTGAAACAGCTTGTTGTGCTGGGAAGTAAAGAAGTGCTCAAGAGTGAATGGGGGTAAAAGGAGGGATATTTGTAACACTTTCAACAGTAAAGATTTTTTTAAGTGCCCAAGAATTATGGGTACATCACACACACACACACACACACATACACGAAAAGTAAAGCAAACAAACTCATAGACTCAGACAACAGTATGGTGGTTACAGAGGTAGGGAGAGGATAGAGAGTAAAGGGGGCTAAATAGATGGTGATGGAAAGAGACTAGACTTTGGGTGGTGAGCACACAATGCCATGTAAAGATGATGCATCACAGAATTGTATACTTGAACTTATATAATGTATTAACCAATGTCACCCCAATAAATTTAATTCAATAAAAAAAGAAAGTGACTTCAGCAAATTTGGGCTGGCAAGGAAGGAATAACATGGCAAGGACAGGTGAGATGATGACCTAACTGGCCTTGAAAGCAGGTGTGCACAATTTAAAATTGATTAAAAAGATGATTTTAAAAAACTACTCGGCCCAACAGGAATTTGGAGACTGGTAGGGAAATAGTCTAAACCCAGACAAGGAAACAAAAGGATTGTGAATGGAGGCTCCACTAGTTCAGGACAAGACAGGCCTCTAGATCAATTCTCAAAGCCCACTGGAGTTGAATTCCTGATTTCTGACCATCTCCATAAGATGTATTTATTCTCTCTTCCTCAGGAGCCAGCCCACCATCATGTCTATTACTCATGCCAGATATTAAACATAAGTCAAAGGAAGAAACGATCTTTGCAATTCCTAATGAACACACATTTTTTTCCAAGCTTTATCTTGACAAGAGTTGTAACTAGATGTCTTCTCCCAAGAAGATGGTGATGGATAATTGTAAGGCAAGACCCATTTGAGTTCTGGGGTTCTGAGGTGGAGATCCGCAACTTATAAAGTGCTTTAAACTTGAAACAATCCACCCCCCCCAAACACACATGATCCTTTAAACTGCTCATCAAGTACTTTGTGTACAAGAGGCCTGTGGTGAAATTTTTGCCAGGTCACCTGCCAAACTATTTGAAAGCAAAAGTGGAAAACTCAAGAAACAACTAACAATACTCTTGTACCTTGAATGCTTCTTTTAAAAAACGCCTTACATCCTTCACATGACCAGACTCCATAGTGATATCCTGATGCGTAGTCACTGCAGACAGCACAGACGTGGGCATCCCTCTTTGAACTTGGACTAGTCACAGGGCTGGCACAACTGCTCCCACTAACCTTCCTTTTCAATGTCTCTCTGGAGGCAAAGAAAGTATTCTTGTAAAAAGCATTAGGGGGAAAAGAGAGATTTCCTAAGAAAATACAGAAACACAGCATGCAGCATGAACGTTGCTTCATTTATCTCTTTGGCCTCCAGGGTTCATAAACACTAAATTGTGTTTCACTTACAAGATAAGGAGGATCCAAATTGAAAGTAAAGTAAAAATTTCTTTTTCAAACCCAAATCACTTCATCTGAAGAAAAGTGATGTAAATGGTCATGATTGTGAGTTCTCTCCACAACACAGATCTACAAACTCAACTTTTAATGAGAACTTGAATATTAAAATGGATATTCTAGAATATCATGTTCTAGGTGCTCTAAGTAATCAATGTGACTAATAAAAACCTCATATAATGTATATCTTTCTTCTCAAAAAATCATAAAGTGATTTGAATAATGCCCATGAACTACAGTAAAGACTAGATTTACCTGTTTACAGGTAAGGTGTGTTCTAGTGATCTTGCTTCACACCAAGGACTCTTTTGAGGTTCTGCATACAGAACTGAAGACTGGCAATGGATGGCTAACGGAGAGAGGTGTCCAGGAGTTGGCCACAACATGTTTGGGCTTGTGGTCTGTCGACCAGGTCCGCCCTCCGAGTTACTGCCACTGCTGGGAATACTGTAATTCATCACAGCCGGGCTGTAGAATGTCATGGCTGAGTATTCATGGCGGCTCTCTACATAGGAGGAAGGTATGTATATGGGGCCGTGCTCCAGGGGAAGGATGGACTGACTGCAGTTGTAGGAAGCAGGGGAGTTAAGGCTAGACGGTGAGTTTTTGATATCCATGTCTTGAATAGGTAACATCTGAGAAAACTCCTTGTGAGAAGAGCCACATAGGGACATTATAATGGTCTCAGTCTCATGGGCAGGTATAATGGCTGTAAAGAGTAACAAAGATATTTCTTAGTCAGAGATACAGGCATAACTATTTAAAATGTTTAAGCATTTTTATTAAACACACACAAACACACACACACACACACACACACACACACACACACACACACACACACACACTGGTATGAGCTTAGAAATACATCCTGAAAGATACACATGAAAATATTAACCTCAGAAGGATGGACATGTGAAGCAAGGGACTCTCATTTTCTACTTCATTCACTTCTTTATTGTTCTTGTTGATAACCAGAAGAGAATTTTACCATGGGAATGTGTTATAAAATTAAAATTCATAGGCTTATATGAAAATTACTGGGGTTTTTTTAACCTGGAACAAGATAAAGTTGTTACAGAAAATTAATCAAGAATAACCAGGGAACCCCAGAAGGAGCGCATCAATGAGCAGGGCCAATAACAAAGAACAAGGACTCACCAGACCAATGTAACTGTCAGTTACCAATGTATTCAGCTTCTATATATGCTCCCTTCAAACAATCGAGTTCCCATGGCATTTAAAATGACCCAATGCTAAACTTTCTCAGTAGAGGGCGCTGCAGGGACACTGCAGGAGGAAGAGGATGCTGTGATTTCTGGCCCATTCATTTCCTATTTGTGTTCATGACAAAGCCCATTCCAATTATCTTTGTTGTCTGCTTCATCCAATTACCTTTAATCACCAAGGCACATTGGTTTTTTCTCCACGGTGCCTTTTCCCATGCTGTCCTTTGCCACCATCTGAGCAAGCTCTCTTATCTGAGCATCTGCAATAGGCTCCTTACTACTTACTCCTCATCAGAGCAACCAGATTAACATTCTTCAAAGCCAGCTCTGATCAGCCCTCCACTTCCCACCAGCTTCTGTGGTAAGTCACGGTCTTCTAACATTCAAAGCCTTCCACTGTTGTCCCATCCCATCACTCAACTCTGATCTGCTATTTTCCTACAGGAAACCTGCCATGTCCATAAGGAATATGCAAAGTCCGTTGGTTGGCATTGTATGCCTTAACAGTTTTTTTCATTCTTAACACCCCTACAGTTAACATATAAATTTAATCCTTTTTATCAGATTACAACTATATAGAATCCTTCTTGAAAATGGTAGAGGTGGGGTGGAATTACAATTAGATTTTTAAACACCTTGAAGGCACCCACTATATTTTATTCACCTCCCACCACAACTCAATAATTATTTGTTATAAGGAAAGAATGAGGAAATATGTTTAAAATATAAGATTTCACTAAGCAAGGGTATTAATCAAAGGTGAGAGCACTTTTCAGCAGGCATGGTACTGTGCTGAGAGAGGGGATTTGAGTGAGTCCCAAAACATGCACCCTGCCTTCAGGAAACCCTGTGCCAGGGAAAGGAGGCAGGATCGACCAGGTAAATGATAATGAACTAATACAAAAGGTGCTATCATTTCTAATCAACATGGATTGACCACAAGGGACAGGAAAGAGAATGGTAGCTGGAGAATGTAGGATGGAGGAAGTCTATTTTGTTTTTTAAATCTATGTGCATTTTATTCATCAGGAGTAATTTCATGTTTCAATTACTTAGATTCCCAACCAACATATACAATCCCTGATTCCTAATAGAAAATATGCAGGATAAAACGAACTTTTGCCAAAAGTTTCCAAACTTTTTTTTAAATTGTGGTAAAAACATATAACATAAACTTTACCATCTTAACCATTCCTAAGTGTACAGTTCAGTGTTAAGTACATTCATACTGTTATGCAACCAATCTCTAGAACTCTTTTCATCTTGTAAAATTAAAACTCAACACCTGTTAAACAACAGCTTCCCCCATTCCTCCCTCCCCCAGCCCAGCAACCACCTTACTGTCTGTCTCTGGATTTGACTACTTGGTCCCTCATATAAATGGGATAATATAATATGTGCCTTTTTGTGACCGACTTCTTTCACTTAGCATAATGTCCTCAAGGTTCACCCATGTTGTTGCATGTGTCAGAATTCCCTTCCTTTTTACGGCTAAATTCCATTGTATTTATGCACTACATTTTATTCATCAATGAAGGGTTTTAAATAGATGCTTGAAAACATTTACAGATCCATGGAAATGACCCAGGTTAGAGTGAGTGGCTGGCATAGGAGAGACCATAGGAGTTGGTAATTAGGTCATTGGTAACCTTGTAGATGGCAGATCCAGGACTGACAGCACTGCAAAAACTTCTCTTATTTCAATCCACCTACACATACACCTGCTCGCTGTACTTATGTTTTCAATATTGTATCTTGGCAACTTCATTTTAGTGCATTGTTTTTGCTACGTGATCTCAGCATATCTTATACAAGCAAATATTTCATCAAACGGCATTTAAAGCACATTAACAGCACACTTTAAACCATATACAATTATAACAGTTGAAAGCAAAATATTTAAAGTAACAGGTGTAACAAATTGTATCTATGCATAATAAAATGGAGGTAATATTTAAATTTTGTATTTATTAAACTTTTTTTAAAAAAGGTGTAAGAAAACAGGCTGGCGTACCCAATTACATAAATAAAAAGTATATCCAAAAGTTAGTGTGGTCACCATGTTGAGTATATTAACTTTCTTATACAAAGTACTACTCAAGGTATACTTATATATGAATAAAGTCAACACTCTCAATAATCAAATGAAGACTAAATTATATTCAGGAAATTATGAAGCAGGAAAGCAGTGAATTTTAGAATAACAATTTCAACAGGAGACTTCAAATTAATACTCAATTAGCTCTGGCCGGTGGCTCAGTTGGTTGGAGCATTGTACTATACACCAAAAAGTTGGGGTTTTAATTCCCAGTCAGAGCACATATCTAGGTTGCAGGTTTGATCCCCAGTCAGGGCACTTACAGGAGGCAACTGATCAATGTTTCTCTGTCTTTGTCTTTGTCTCTCTCTCTCTCTCTCTCTCTCTCTCTCAAATCAATAAACATATCCTCAGGTGAGGATTAAAGAAATTAATACTTAGTTAATGAAAAATAAGTAAATTAAACAGATTAAACAAAACAAAAAGACATTTTGGTCAATGACGGTATTACTGAATTTCATGTTGTCTCAACTTTACATTGCCCAAAAGAAACATATTTAGCATTTTAGCATAAGTATTTCAGCAAAGACAACAAAAACTTCTTTATTTTCCTTTTATTAGGCCTCTTAAAACATTAAGCTTCTACTGACACAAAGTGATAAATAGTAGCATGGAAATTCACGAACTTGAAATAACACCTCCCTTTACCTAGTTGGAAAATGATCACACAATTTAAAATGAATATGACATCTCTCTCAAAAGCAGAGAATCAATCTCATCACTCATTTTCACCTATAAGTGAAACTTTCATTCTCGGCCCAGAAATGCTGAAATGACCTGTCAGACACACACCACCAAATGGCAAATGCCAGGATTCATCCAAGCAATCAATCAGGTGCCACGCGACACTGCTTAGAAAATTTGGATTTCACATATATACTCCAATCAACCTCTCTAGAATTTCCACACATCCCTGTACCATGATAATTAATGTGAGAGAACTGGTTGCTGGACAGTGATTAAAAGACTGTGTGTTGTTTTTTAGCTGGATATATTTTAGATGTATCCAGATTCATGTGACAATTCAGTGGAATCTTGGATAACTAGTAACTTGGTAGCCAGTGAAAAAGGATTTTCTTCTTAAGCAAAGACTCAGTAAGGGGTGATGAACTGAAATCACTGCTGTAGACCTGGCAGGCAGGAGAACAGGCAGCAAAAGAGAAATCTTCCCCACGGAAGGTCTATACCAGTGAAAGTGAATTTTTTTTAAACCTGTCTGGTCACTTAAGTAGTCCTACTCTAAAACAGGGATATAAACTGCTTGGAGAAAAGAACCGCCAACAAATAAAATGTCTTCAACATTATAGGACAGGATTTCCCCCCACTCACTTGTTTGAACACCCAAGCATTGCCTCGGTGACTACAATACCTGGTACAACAGGGAAATAGTCTCTAAACAGTTTCATTGTTGGGCCTGGCAGGCATGGAATTTCACCTGGGCAGCAAAGGAACAAGAACCCAAACACCCCAATTCTACGAAGTAACCATTTCTTTGCATATCAGTTTTCTTAAATTAGTCATCTTAGCCAAAAATAGTTGGCCCATTTCCTTTGTGACCCTGCCTTCTGTCCAGAATTCTCTCTCCACTGGCCCAGCACACACACCTGTGTTGAGCCCCCTCGGGTCACATCTGCATTCAGCGGCAGTTTTTTGTACACATGGGATTGTACATAGTGTTCTATCATACTGACTGGGAAACACATTATAGCTCTTTAAATGAAATCACTTAAAATTCCAAATACTGACAGTGATTCCTTGAAGAAAAAGGCAGGCCTTGAGACAAAGCAGAAAGACACTCCAGAAAAACTAGACTGGTTTTATCAAAGTACCTATCAAATCTAGTTAAAGACTAAAGAAGCAATCACCACCAGGCCTGTCTTTACATATTTTCTGGCTCCATGGACAGAGCAATACATGGGGTCCCAGCTCTGCCTGGGAGCCAGGTGATCTTAGACAAACCATGCAAACTCCTGAACTTCCATTTCTGTGTCTTCCTCAGCAGAAACGGGGGCCACCGAGGGGCTGCACCTTCCACAATGCTTGGACCAGAAATGAAGTGATGGATGTGAATGCATCCTGTAAGGTATCATTACCTGTCCAAGAGGGGGAAGTCAATCTACTGCCATGCCACTGGATGGGCCTGAGTATTTCCAGATAATTTAGGTTACAATGCCTTTATGGCCACCTTGAACATTTTTGCCTCCTATTTTTCTTTCTTAACTTCTACTCTACAATCCATCACCGTCAGTCCAAAAAGCTGGGCCAGTGGCAGCCTGTCAGCACTGTGTGGAGCACAAAACGCCACATTCTCCTTATGCTGTGTTCTCAAGCCTGTCTATCACACCTGCCCAAGCATTCAATGCAAACACCCCATACCTGTGTG